TTTTAAAAATGGGGGTAAAGGCACTTTTTTTACTCACAGATGTTTTAAAACTAGGCTGCGAGTTGTTCTTTGCTGACAGCTGTTCTTGTTTGTTTCCTGTTTTTCTTTCATTTACTTTTCTTCCTTTATTTCTTTCCTCTGCTTTCATTGGGTTTATCCGGTTGTGTTTTTTCTAGCTTTATTTGAAGGCTAATTTTTTACTTTTAGTATTATCTTTTTTTGGGTGGCAGGGGACAGGGTCTTGCCACGTTGTCCCGGCTGGTCTTGAACTCCTGGACTCAAGCAATCCTCTCCTGCCTCGGCCTCCCAAAGTGTTGGGACTACAGGTGTGAGCTACTGTGCCCAGCCTCTTTTTCAAAAGAATTAAAGCCTGTAAGTTTGCCTTCAAATACTTTTTTGCTGCTTACTACTTATGATATATTATAGTTCTTTCACTGTGGTTTACTTCTACATTAAAAAAATATTACTGTGAAGATATATTTATATATGAATAGATTTTAGTTTCCAAAAACTATAGAAACTATTATTTTATTGTGGTTTTTTTTTGTTTGTTTGTTTTGTTTTGTTTTTTTTTGTGACAGAGTCTCGCTCTGTTGCCCAGGCTGGAGTGCAGTGGCCGGATCTCAGCTCACTGCAAGCTCCGCCTCCCGGGTTCACGCCATTCTCCTGCCTCAGCCTCCCGAGTAGCTGGGACTACAGGCGCCTGCCACCTCGCCCGGCTAGTTTTTTGTATTTTTTAGTAGAGACGGGGTTTCACCGTGTTAGCCAGGATGGTCTCGATCTCCTGACCTCGTGATCTGCCCATCTCGGCCTCCCAAAGTGCTGGGATTACAGGCGTGAGCCACCGTGCCCGGCCTATTTTATTGTTGATAATATCTAATGAGATACAGTGTGTGGTCTTAGAGGCAGGGTTCTATGGTATTCAGTTTTTGAAATTTGCTGAAATACTTGCTTTCAACCAAGTGTATGATTATTATTTTAAAAATGCCCCATGCGTAGGTTTTCATATATACTTTCCTATTTTTTGAGTTCAAACTCAGTGGGCATTTGCCAAACTTTAATGTCACTCAGACATAAAAGAATGCTTTTTGTGGCATTCCCAAGGTGGTGACCAAAACTCAGTTTCCAAATTTCCACTGCAGCTGGATTAGATATCTTTCTAATTTCAATATCTACATTTTTCCCTCCCAATATGCTAATTTGTAGCTTTCCTATATATTTTTTCTTATTTCATTTCCTTCTTTTGTAGCTTCACTTTTTTTGCTCTTTTGAAAGAGAAGTTATTCCTTCATTTCTTTCTTTGAACATCTTAAGACTACTTCTTTTAAAGTCTTTTTCTTATTTTCCTATAAAGTTAATTTTATCTGGGGTAAGATAATGTTGTCTGCTGGTTTTGCTGGCTGAATGTTTAGAAATTTAAGATTTCTTTATATACTTTGAAATTAAACTTAAGAGTTTCAGTTTTAAAGGGAAGTAATTTCTAATTCTTTCCTCTCTCACCCTCCTTGCTCAGCCTACCCTGCTCTGATAGTTTTCCAGTTGCCTTCACCTGGCCCTTGAGGTCATTATTCAGGAATTCCATCCTTATCTCTGTGCTCCTATTCTGTGTGGGTATCAGAAACAGTGCGAACACAGGCTTTAAGCTAACAATGTGACTTTGCTAAAAGCCATGATACGAGGGAGAGGTTGGCAATACTTTTTGACTGAAGCATGAAGCCTTCTACAGCCCATGGCATCAAATAATGAGCCTGATTTCCATTCCTCATCCCATCTGGAGCACTTCTAGGTCCTTTCCCCAAAGCTTCAAGAACTATTTATCCACAGGAGTTGAAGCCGAAGCTACTTTGGCCTCTTCCAGACCAAATCCCAGTAGCCTGTATCCTCAGCCACAGTCATGGCTTTTCAGTTTTGTCTCATTTCTGGCCTGTGGAGATGTTTATCTTGTTTTTCGTCCAGCTATATCTCTTTGCTTTTGCATTTTATTATGTTCTTTATTACTAACATGTATCTGGAGTAGAACGAGTGCACCAAAGCATAAACTCCATGCATTACTATGGCTGGAACTTGGGGACACCTGCACTACTCTGATCTAGCTCATGAGAGAAACCCTGGTGGTGGGAAGTCCAAGCTAAGTAAGAGAAGGGAAGGCAAGCTAGCCAGGAAGTTGTGGTGGAGTGCCCTTGTAGGCTGAATAAGGATCCTCAATGCTGCCCACATCCTAATCTCAGGAATCTTTGAATATGTTACTTACATGGCAAAAGGGACTTTACAGACATGATTAAGGATCATGAGATAGGGATGTTACCCTGAATTATCCAGGTAATCCCAATGTAGTCACAAGGGTCCTTATAAGAGGAAGGCAGGAAGGTCTATGTCAGAGAAGACATGAGGATGGGAAGAGAGGTCAGATTGATGCAAAGAGACCATGAGCCAAAGAATGCAGGCTACCTGTAAGAGCTAGAAAAGGCAAGAAAAAATGGATTTTCCCCTAGAGCTTCCAGAAAGAAACAGCACTGCCAAAACCTTGACTGTCAATTTTGTTTAACCCAGTGAGATCGATTTTTGGATTTCCGAATTTCAGCACACTAAGATAATAAATCTATGTTGTCTCAAAGCCACCAAGTTTATGGTTATTTGTTATTGCAGCCATAAGAAACTAATAAGAGTAAGGTGCGAAACCTCAATTAGAGAGGAAGAGTAAGTGCTTTTTAAAAAAAATTATATATATATTTATTTATTTATTTTTTACTTTGAGATCTATTGCATGGCATGGTGAAAACAGCAAATAAATGATAACTTATTGTACAGTTCAAAATCACTAAGCAAGTAAATTTCAAATGTTCTCACCACAAAAAAAGGCTATGAGATGATGGATATGTTAATTAGCTTGATTTAGTTATTCCATATTTCATCCATAAATTGTAATATCACTTTGTACCCCATAAATATATATAACTGTTGGTCAATTTAAAATTAAAAATGAAAATAAACTAATATGTGTATTGAGAGCTAATCTCTGCATGCAACCATGTAAAGATAGCAAATTACCTTCTGTATGCATATGAATAATTACTTCTGACTGTACTTCAGGTGGCCATGTGTCTGAGAACCTGGAATATTTCTGGAATTAAGAGATGTGCACATGTGATGCACGATGGTGATGGAAGAGGAAATATATCCTGTAAGGATTCCAGATGGACACTTAGTGCTCTTCTAAATTGGACAATTAGTATGTGGGGAAAAGTAGCTTTTCCGCACATGTGAGTCCTTGGCCAGGGAATAATTTCATGTTAATCTGTTAATCTACAATACCAGCATCAATAACTATTTGATTTCACTATTTTTTCAGATCATTTTAATAATTTATGTGTATAAATATTTTGTAATCTATATAGACAGAGTAATGTAAAACATTGTACAGTATTAAAAGGTACCTGTTAAATTTTGTGGAAAACAGAGAAAACCACTTCCATTAGCCATGGTTATCTCTGTGTTTCACTTAAAACTTGCTAGTATGTTTTAATTATACATATTTTGTTTTAAAGTACAGCTATGAACAATGATAGAAATGCATGAATTTATTGGATCATAAATAAATGCTTCTATTTTTAAACATCCTTAGAAAAATTATCCTTGGCCAGGCACAGTAGCTCATGCCTGTCATCCCAGCATTTTAGGAGGCAGAGGCAGGTGGCTTGCTTGAGCCCAGGAGTTCGAGACCAGCCTAGGCAACATGGTGAAACCCTGTCTCTACAAAAAATATAAAAATTAGCCAGGTGTGGTGGCCCATGTCTGTAGTCCCAGCTACTCAGGAGGCTAAGGCAGGAGGATTGCTTGAGCCTGGGAGGCGGCAGTTGCAGTGAGCCATGATTGTGCCAGTGTACTCCAGCCTGGGTGACAGATAAAGACAAGAAAGAAAGAAAGAAAGAAAGAAGGAAAGAAGGAAAGAAGGAAAGAAGGAAAGAAGGAAAGAAGGAAAGAAGGAAAGAA